GTACATGAGACAAAATCGTGCCATCTTTGCTTCCAAGGAGCATTCTGACTGTATTTCTTCCAAGACATACTTGTTCATTCTTCTGGCAGTCCATGGTATCTTCAGTATTCTTTGCCAACACCATAATTCAAAGGCATCAATTTTTCTTCGATCTTCCTTATTCATCGTCCAGCTTTCGCATGCGTAGGAGATGATTGAAAATACCATGGCTTGGGTCAGGTGCACCTTAGTCCTCAAAGTGACATCTTTGCTTTTTAACAAACACTTTTAAGAGGTCTTTTGCAGCACATTGGCCCAATACAATACGTCGTTTGATTTCTTACTGCTGCTTCCATGAGTATTGATTGTGGATCCAAGTGAAATGAAATCCTTGACAACGTCAGTCTTTTCTCCGTTTATCATGATGTTGCTTATTGGACCAGTTGTGAGGATTTTCTTTATGCTGAGGTGCAATTCATACTGAAGGCTGTGGTTTTTTATCTTCATCAGTAAGTGTTTAAAGTCCTCTTCACTTTCAGCAAGCAAGGTTGTGTCATTTGCATATCTCAGGTTGTTAATAAGTCTTCCTCCAGTCCTGATGCCGCGTTCTTCATATAGTTCAACTTCTCGGATTATTTGCTCAGCATACAGATTTAATAAGTATGGTGAAAGGATACAGCCCTGACACACACCTTTCCTAATTTTAAACCAGGTTATGTCAAGGCTTGTGTTTTTTGATTTTGATTGAGTGCTTTATATAATGTGTAAAAGAACCATTGAGATGGAACCAATATTCTTTCCCTTTCAAGAAGCTAGAGTGAAGCTATCCAAGTGGATGCAATATTGGATATGTCATAAGACTTCTTAATTTCATTTATTGTACTTTTTACTGTTAGAATGTCTGTTTGCTCGTTTTCAGAGATTTCTGTTTTTCTTTTAAATTATTCCATATTGGGTCCACTGTGTACCTGTTTTCCTCTTTTAAAGTTATTTTCTGCTAGTTCTAACAAATGTGATATCTGCCTGCTGTGAGTCTACTTCTTTTGATTTTTTTATCTTCATTCATGTTTTTCTGCTTTTCCCCCAGGTCTTGAAATTTTTTATTGTGTGCTTTATATAATGTGTAAAAGAACCACTGAGATGGAATCAGTGTACTTTCCCTTTCAAGAAGCTAGAGTAAAGTTATCCAATTAAGAGTTGAGTTTGTTTAGGGCTAGGTTGCTGCTCTAGTTAGTTTCAGCTCACTTCTGTTTTCAAATATCATAAGGGTGAGATTGGTCCTGTGTGTGTGATGGGTTCTTCCCACTAGTAAGCTTTAGGGTTTAAGAACTGTAAGACTGCAGAAATGTTTCACTGCCTTTCCAGCCCAGTTCACAGCCTCCTACACTGCTGTTTCCTCAGGAAATGTCCCATGAGGGAGATCTAATATGTGGGAGCATCAAGCTCTCCGTTTTACGTTCCTCCAGATTCCAACTTGTCATGCCGCCCATATGGTCATTTAAAACTTCCTTGATTTCTCCTTACCCTAGCAGAGTTCCTCAGCCTATATCAGACCCAATCCTTTGCACACTTGCACCTAGACTTGCTAAAATACTCTAGTTAAATAAGTGACCACTACTGTCCACTTTTCGTAGGAAAGGCTTATCTCTCTTTGGAATTTAGTTTCTTTAGACAAATTTGTGTTTGGAAATTTCCACTGTCCTTTTTTTTTTATTTAATTTTTTCATTTTGAGATAATGGTAGATTCATAGACATTTATAAGAAATAATACAGAGTGATCCCATGTACCCATTACTCAGTTTCCTCCAATGGTAGCTATAGTACAGTATCACAACCAGGATATTGACATTGATATGCTGGAGATAGAGAACATTTCCAGCACCACAAGGATCTCTCATGTTGTGTTTTTAAGGCAAACCCACTTCTCTCCCACCCCACCCCCTTCCTAGCCCATAGCAGCCACTAATCTGTTCTCCATGTCTATAATTTTTATTTCAAGAATGTTATATAAGTGGAATCATACAGTATGTAACCTTTTGGGATTGGCTTTTTTCACTCAGTGTAATTGTCTGGAGATTTATCCAGAAAATTTTTGTTGCATGTATTAAAAGTTTGTTCATTTTGTTGCTAAGTAGTATGGCATGGTATGGATGTACCACAGTTTAACCATTCACACATTGAAGGACATCTGAGTTGTTGTCAGCTTTTAGCTATTGTGAAGAAAGCTGCTATAAACACTCATGTACATTGTTTTGTGTATATAGTCTTTATTTCTCTGGGATAAAGGCCCAGGAGTGCAATTGCTGGGTCATATGGTCGTTACGTGTCTGGTTTTGTAAGAAACTGCCAGACGTTTTCCAGAGTGACTGTACCATTTTACATTTACACCAGTAATGTATGAGTGATCCAGTTTCTCTACATTCTTGCCAACATTTGGGGTTGTCACTGTTTTATTTTAGCTGTTTTCACAGGTGTGTAGCGATACCTCATTGTGGCTGTAATATACATTTCCCTAATGGCTAATGATGTTGAACATCTTCCTGTGTGCTTATTTGCCATCTGCATATCCTATTTAGGAGTCCCTAGGTGGTGCAAATGGTTAACACACTCTGCTGCTAATGGAAATGTTGGAGGTTTGAGTCTATCCAGAAGTGCCTGGGAAGAAAGGGCTGATGATCTACTTATAAAAAAAAATCAGCTACTGAAAACTATATGGAGCATAGTTGTATTCTGACACACGTGGGGTCATCATGAGTTGGAATTGGCTTGACAGAAACTGGTTTTTATCCTCTTTGATGAAATTTCTCTGAATATCTTTTGCCCGTATTCTAATTGATGTTGTTTTTAACTCTTGAGTTTTGAGACTTCTTTATGTAGTCTAGTATACTCATCTTTTGTCAGATACATCATTTGCAAGCATTTTCTCCCAGTCTACAGCTTGTCTTTTCATTCTCCTAGTGTAGGGTCTTTCACGGAGCAAAAGTTTTTAATTTTGACAAAGTGCAGTTTATCAGTTTTCCTTTCATGGATCCTACTTTTGATGTCAAATCTAAGAACTGTTTGTCTAGCCCTAAATTCTGAAGATTTTCTCTCTTTTTTTTCTAATAGTTTTACATTTAAGTCCTTGATCCAATTTGAGTGTATTTTTTGTATAAGATGTGACACTTAGGTTGAGGTTCTTTTTTTTAGATGTCCTATTACTCAGAACCATTTGTTGAAAAGGTTATGTTTTCTCCATTGAATTGCTTTTGCAGCCTTGTTAAAAAATCCATTGGACATGTTTGTGTGCATCTGTTCCTGGGTTCTCTGTTCTGTTTCATTGGTCTGTGTGTCTGTCCTTAATGAAAATACCATACAATTACTATAGCTATATAATAAGTTTTGAAATTAGGTAGACTGATTTCTCTTTATTTTTCTTTACAAAAATTGTTTTAGTATTCTAGTTCCTTTGCTTTTCCAAATAAATGTTAGAATAATCTTGTCTATATCTAGAAGAAGTCTTGCTGGGATTGTGATAGGAATTTAATTTTGTTAAACCTGTACATCAGTTTGGGGAGAGCTGGAAGCCTCGTGGCGCAGTGGTTAAGAGCTCAGCTGCTAACCAAAAGGTTGGCAGTTTGAATCCACCAGCTGCTCCTTGGAAACCCTATGGGGCAGTTCTACTCTGTCTTATAGGATCGCTATGAGTTGGAATTGACTTGACAACATGAGGTTTGGTTTGGGTTTTATTTATCATCTTTGTCTGGTTTTATCAGGGTAATGCTAGCTCATAAATGAATTGGGAAGCATTCTTTTCTATTTTGTGGAAGCTGTTATGTAGAATTGGTTTTAATTCTTCTTTAAATGTTTGATTCAACTCTTCAGAGAAACCATCTGGACCTGGAGATTTCTCTTTTGGGAATTTTAAATTATAAATTTAATTTCCTTTAATAGTTAATAGGACTATTCAGATTATCTATTTCATATTGGTTTAGTTGTGGTAATTTACGTTTTACAAGGAAGTTGTCCATTTTGACTAAGTTGTCAAACGTATGTGTGTAGAGGTGTTTGTAGTATCATTCCCTTTTTTATCCTTTTGATATCTGCAGGGTCTGTAGTGATATCCCCTGCTTCATTACTGATATTGGTAATTTCTATCTTCTCTCTCTTTTTCTTTGTTAGTCTTGCTAGAAGGTTGTCAATTTTATTCATTTCAAGGAGCTGGTTCTTTGTTTCACTGTTTTTTTTTTTTTCCTTTCTTTTTCAATATTATTGATTTCTGCTTTTAACTTTTCTTCTGCTTGCTGTGGGTTTATTTTGCTCTTCTTTTTCTAGTTTCTTGAGATGGGGCCTTACCTTAGATTGTTGATTTGAGACTTTTCCTCTTTTCTCATATATGTAGTTAGTCTGTAAATTTCCCTTCAGCACTGTTTCAGCTGTGTCCTACATATTTTGAAACTTTCCCTTTGACTCATGTATTATTTGGAAGTATGTTGTTTAGTTTCAAAGTATTTGGAGATTTTTCTCCTGTTATCTTTCTGTTACTGATTTCTAGTTTGATGTCATTGTAATCACAGAACATACTCTGTTGTATGATGTCAATTCTTCTAATTAAATTCGTTGAGATTTGTTTTATGGCCCAAGATATGGTGTATCTTGGTACAAGTTCAGAAACCCTGGTGACGTAGTGGTTAAGAGCTATGGCTGCTATCCAAAAGGTCGGCAGTTGGAATCCACCAGGCACTTCTTAGATACCCTACGGGGCAGTTATACTCTGTCCTGTAGGGTCGCTATGAGCTGGAATCGACTCAACGGCAGTGAGTTCAGTACAAGTTCTGTGAACAGGTCTCTTGAGCTGTCTTACTTGTCTGGTAAAAAACCCTATTGTTAGGTGCTGTGGAGTTGATTCGGACTCATAGTGATGCCACGTGACAGAGTAGAACTGCCCCTTAGGGTTTTCTGGGCTGTCCCATAAGGTTTGCTAGGTTGCCCCATAGGGTTTTCCAGGCTGTAGTCTTCATGGAAGCAAATTGCCAGGTCTTCCTCCCATAGAGCCATTTGAGTGGGTTTGAACCGCAGCAGCCAAGTGCTTAACCATTGTGCCACAGGGCTCCTTTGGTAAAACCCTAGGTAGCCCTAAATGAGTTCAGCCATTTATTTACGTTCTTTTTATGCCTTTGACTAACCAGCTGGAGAAATTACACAACTGGCTGCTCTTTATATTCATGAGCTTAGTTCTTGCAGTCCATCAACCCTGCGCTGAAATCCTACCATGTTTCTCAGATAAGCATTCTTTGCTACTTTCCAAGATTACTCTTTCATGCATTTTTTGCCCCTCATACCTCTTCATAGTCTGTCTTTAGTTGAAGAGCTTGCCTCATATCCAAGTAAGAAAATAAAAGTTACCAGATGGAAACTCTGTTATTTTCCCAGTACTGAATCCAGAATCCTACCTGCATCCTCACCCATCTATTCCTTCTGCCCTCGTTTTGTAAGGGAAGGAAGTGCCTCTTCCCTCAAGGGGCAGTCTTTCCATTTGTACTACTCTATCTCTTCTCTGTAAGGGATCTTGTTTCTTTTGTTATTAATTCTTCCATCTCAGTATAAGTTCTGTATCAGCATACAGACACCCTCTGCCTTTTCCCAGCTTAAGAAAACTCATTCTTGGACGCACATCTGTCCACTTTTATTTCCCTGCTCCCCTTTATAGCTCAATTTCTTTAGTTACCTACACAGGTTGTCTCCACTTTGTCACCTCACATTAACTCTTCAACTCAGTTTAGTTTATCCTCACTACTGCATTGCTTTTGTCAAGATTATCAGTGGCTTTTATGTTGTCAAATCTAATGGACACTTTTCTATTCTCCAGCCTTTTAATACCATTTGCTATAATTGACCTCTTTGTTTTTCTTGAAATATGCTTCCCCTCTTGGTTTCTGTGATAGCACTGTTCTGGCTTTCTTGCTACTCTACTGATTCACCAGCTTTTGGAAATTTTCCTCTACCTTACCTATAATTTGGTGTATCTTGGGTCTGACCTGGTTCTTTTTCTGTTCTTTATCTTGGGGTGATCTTATTTATTCCCTTGACTTTAACTATTACTTACATATTGATGCCTCCCAAATTTATATCTCCAGATATCTTTTCTAGATTTGATATCCAACATCTTACTTGGCTATCGAATAGACATTTTAAATTTAAAACATATCTGAAGTGGAACTTTTCATTTCCCCAAACCTATCTCTTTTCCATTTCTTTCGTCTAAAACTGTTACTAAAGCTAGAAACCTAGGAGTTATCCTTGTTTGTTTTCTTTCTTTCATTCCCACATCTACTTCCTCAGTAAATCTTCTCCACTGTATCTTTAAAATATACACTTAATCCATCATCTTATTATCACCACTATTAGCACCTAGCTATCAGGAGACCTAATAGTTGATCTCTCTGCTTCCACTATTGTCTGTGGAGAATACCCATTCTCCACATGAGACAGAGCAGAAGAAAATACATAAATGAGATTCTCATTGCTCCCTTGATTAAAATTATCTAAACGGCTCATAATTCCAGTTAGAATAAAACCCAGACTTAAGCTTATTCTGGCATACTAGATCCCACGTGAACTAGACCATGGTTACCTTTCTGACTTAACCCTTTAGTGAATGAATTATTTTATGTTTGTAATTTTTTGGTGATGTAGTGTTTTTTCACTAATGGAATGCATGCTGAATCACTGAGTGTTGGCAATCTTTTGTTAGGTAATGTGGTTTTTTATTAATATTATGTGGTACACATATATACCAGTGAATTCTGGAGGTAAGATAGGTGTATGAGAACGGGAAAAAATAGTTTTTTCTTATCAATTTTTTTGTTGTTGAGTGAAACATTATTAGATAACTGCCAAACCACTGTGAATCATGGCCCAGCAAAGTGGACACAGAACCTGAACCATCACAACAGGATAATACAAATGCCATACCTCCAAACCAATATGAGAATACACAAGGGGGAGACGTTGTCTACTTCCAGCCTCCTGTAAAACTAAAGCCCCGAAAGGAAGTGCGGTTGTGGGAACATTACCACTGCAATAAATTACTGCTTACTGCAAAACAGGTACTTACAGCTCAGAAACCAGAAGGTAGGTCCTTGATGATTGATTGCACCAAATGTACATGCATTATGTCAAAGATGCTAGAACATGTGCTTACACTGTATTTCTCCTAAAAATAAGTTTTTCACATCAATATTACCTAATCCTGAAAATCACATCTACCCAATAACACAAAACCATAAATATCCTTATAAGGCTTACCTCCCTGTTCAGAATTCCAAACAACCAAAAAATGTAATTGGTACTTATTTGTACCTGTGTACATGAAGTATGTCAGGGATGCATACTTACATATATTTTGCCTGAAAATAACTTATGCACTTGAATATTACCTAATGCCCAAAACTGCACCCTCCTGATAACACAAAGGAAACATTAAAAGTACTTACAAGCCTTCTCTTGCTATGCAGAGGGAGAAAGAGACAAAAGTCATTCACAGTCAGTCCTCCTGCTGCAGCACCTCCTGCAACAACCTCTCAGCACAACAACATGGCGCCGACGAACATCCTTCTGGTTTACGCAGTTAATGGAAGTCTCTGCCCCGACTCTAGCACGTATTAAAAATGTTCCAAAAGCATGCCTATAAACCCCAGAGATGGAAAATGTGAGTGGTATTTAATATATACCAGTATACATGAAAGAGTTAACTACTTTTCTCCTGGTTGACTGCTTTAGCTACACTAGCCTTCTTTCAGAGCCTAGAATTCCAGTGCCTTTGGACCAGGTACTCCTGCCTGAAAGCTCTTCTCTCTGCTTTTTTGCACATCTGCCTTCTTCTAAGCCTTTAGGTCTCAGCCTAAATAACACCTTCTCAAAGAGACCTGCTCTAAGTAAGATTTTCCCTATTTTTGACAGCACCTATTTGTTTCCTTTTTAATGCTTACCACTCTTTGTAATTGTTTACTTTGCTTAATTTAGAAATCAATATAGAAAATAAAATTATATGAATTTTATATTTTGAATGATAATTTTTGAGTCTTTTGATTTAAAAGTAAATAAAAACCTAGTATTCTCAGTTTTTGGCAATCTGACATTTTAACAATATAATTTAGGGATCAGACGTGTGGCTTTAAGTCTTCTAGTAAAATCTCAACATACATAACGTGTTCATATGAATATTATAATTGAATATATTAGAATGAGCCTTTTGGTACCTCTTTGTCCCACTTGATGGACACGCTTAGACAGTTTACATTTAGTGTAAAAGAGTTAAGTTTAAATATACCATCTTGCTATTTGTTTTCTATCGTCCTACCTGTTCTTTTTTCTTTTACTGCTTTCTTTTGCCTTGTGTATTTTTTGATTTTGTTATATCGCCCACTATTGGCTTATTGGCTATGCCTGTTTGCTTAATTTTTTTAGTTGTTCCAGGCCTTAGAGTCTAAGATTTGCAATATATATCGCTAAGTTATCATAGTCTACCTTCAAATATTATACCACTTGACATACAGTGTTAGAAACTTACAACTTAAATTTCCCCCGCCCTTTCTTTGTGCTACTGTTGTTAGATTTTTTTTCTATATATATTATAAACTTCATAAAACATTGTTATTATTTTTGCTTTAAACAGAAAATTATCTTTCAAAGAAATTTAAGAATTAGGAATAAAGTTCTTAATATTTACTCACATGTTTACTATTTTTGATAGTCTGTATTATTTTCTGTAGATCGAAGTTTCCATTTGGTATCTTTTTTTTTTTTAAACATAAAAGGACTTCTTTAACATTTCATGTAGTGCAGCTCTGTGATGAATTTTCTCAGTGTTTGGATTCTCAGTTGGCTTTGTTAACAACTTGAATATCACATGGCCCTCTTACTGCACTGTGAGCTACCTTCGTTTTCTTCACTGTAAAAACTGTTAGGGGCTCTGTTGAGGATAGTTTCTCATGTTGAAATTATTGGTGGATGTTCATTAATTCTTTGTGTGAGCTATTACCATGGAAATGTGGATGTTGCATCAACTGGTTATATACTCTATTTTTTTAGCATTAAGATGATTAAATGAATTATTGTATGTAAAACAATTAGAAGAATGCCTGGTAAATAGTGCTGTATCTTATTAGCTATTATGGTTGTTTTATAGTGATTATTTTTTGCAAGTGTGAAAATTCAGATACTCTTTCAGATTTGAAGTTCTCTTCTGTAGATGTAATCTCTCTTTATGATCTGACCTAAGTACCTCATCTGTAGGAATTATAATTGTTCGTAAGAAAGAGGCCAGTTATGCCTTTGGTGTACAGGACTGAAATATTTGTTGATAGATTGATCCACCTTAATGTTTTCAAATCAGGGCTTTGAACTGGTTCAAACCAGTTCTTTCATGGCGGAAGAAGTGAAACAGGAACAGACTTGAAGTTTTACAGTTTGGATGATTCACCATGGCACCCGAACGGGAAAAATTGTGGGTCGAAGAGACTTGGAAGAGGCGTAGGGAGCTCTTTCAGGAGCCTGTGTGAGATTGGATTATTGCAGGACCGTAGAGAGCGAGACACATTCAAAGCGGCACGGTTGGCCGCCATCTTTGAGCGGGATGCAGCAGTCTTCCAGCCGGGCAGCGCTGTTTCCAAATCTGCACAGAATCCAAGGGCAAGACATTTGATTACTGTGCATTGTGTATGCTACCCTTGTTTTCGGAGAGGGAGATTAAGTTTTTAGCTGGGCTTTGACCTGTTATTTTTCCCATTCTGAGTACCTTAGCGAATCACTCAAGTTTAAAAAAGTCAGGTCTGTTTCAGTGATGCTTTCTCGGACATGATTGAACTGGGCAGAACAGGTTCGAAGCTGTCTTTCATACTGAGGTTGATGAGGGACAGGGACGTGTCAGAATCATCTAGGGATCTTAAAAAATGCACCACCTTGCTCATTTAAGGACTGCTGGTCTATAAGTTTAACTTCTTCTTATGGACTTAATAAATAATTGGTAACTCAGCCCTGGAATTTATATATAATTGAAAGCATTCATAACAAAATAGCTTGTTTAAATAATCTGATTTTTTCCATGTGCTAAACTCTTCTGTCTCTTGCTAATGTGATAGGTGAAGGAGTTTGCTTGAACGTTCCTTTTGTGTTTTAACCCCTTACCCCTTTTTATAAGATTTCAAGTAAAAGTGAAATACATGGAACCACAATATGTAATATAGGTAGTAATTTATTACCATATATTTACTTATAAGTTCAGATTTATAACATTTGCTTACTATAAATGAAAACAGTGAGGCGATTTTGAATAATGCAAACATTTTAATATTAGTCTCAGAATTCTTTTTTTCCTTTTCTAATTTTGTTATACAGTATTAAGAAAATCCCAATTTAAACAGGTAAGTAATTGGATAGTCTTTTAAAGTTTGCCTTATAGCTTTAAATTGTCATTCTAGCAGCTAGAAAGAGTAATAAGGACTTTGAATTTTAGAGTGGATGCACTAAATGTTTTAACTTTTACTTGTGTTTATTAATTGTTAAATATTGAATTTGGAAGGAGGCCATGAATGTGGAGGTAGTATGTTGAAAGTGGGCTTTGGAGTCAGGCATGATTCCCTTTTCTGCTAGCTGTGACACCCTGGGTAAATTATTTAACCTCTCAGCCTTGAATTTCTTATTTATCAAATGGACATCATAATTAGTTGTTGCCTCACGAGGTGTTTGCATTAAATAAGCTAAATACATGTATGTGTTAAAGTATGACTTCTAGAAAGCAAAATCATTACTCTTAAGCAAATATGAAATGAATATGTGTCACAGATTATATTCCACTCATTTGTTAATGAGGGAACAGTAAGATGTTACATCAGCCCAGAAGGCATTTGAAAATCTTAAGTATTTATAGGCAGTGTTACCATAAGATTGTTGACTTAGATATGAAACTGGTCAGCGTTCAACAAGGCCATGAACTTAATCTTTGTGGTTATCTTTTTTTACTTACCAAAAATTATTATTATTTTTTTACTGAATAAAAATCTGTAAATTTACATATAACTTCACTAAGTCTGGAACTTTTAATCAGTAGTAAACAGTGAGTTATGTTCCCCTAAATCAGTTTCTCAATGTTGGCACTATTAATATTTTGGTCTGAATAATACTTTGTTGTGGGGACTGTCATGGGCATTATAGAATGTTTAGTAGCATCCCTGGCCTCTACCTGGTAGATGCCAGTAGCTCTGTCCTCCCCAGGTGGCCACCAAGAATGTCTCCAGGTATTGCCAAATGTTCCTTGGGGAAACACTGCCCTAGATATTCTTGAGTGGCCTCTGTCCTCATATGACATTGAGAGATTGTATCACCCATCTTTTTGCCTTTTTTTTCAAGTTTTGGATATTTCTGACACATGCAAAGTACTTAGCACAATGCCTGACAAACAGTACTGCTGTTAGTAACAATGAGAACATTATTATCTGTTACTATTATTTCTAATATCTTGTTCTCTGACAGTTCGAAAGTCATTATTTGGCAGAACATACTTGTGAGACTGACTTATTAAGTAATGTCATTAAAAAACAAACAAAAAAACAGATCCTGAGATACTTCAGTGCTTATTTGTCAGATTCACCCAGAGTTTCAGAACAGTCAATATTAGGTTTTGCGTGTTAAGTCCCAAATTCAGGTTTCTCATACTTTCTCTGCATTTTTAACCATGGCAAATTTTGACCCAGACTGTATGCGTTGAATTTATTCATTTTATTAAAATCAGATAGGAGCCACTTACAAGTTTCTAATAATCATTAAAACGTTCATAAACCATTTTATTGAATTGAATATATTATGTATTCACTCTTATTATGCAGCCAAGTAGACGTGCTTGAACTTTGTCTGGCATTTTGTTCTGTAAGATACATGCCAAAATAATGTACTCACTTATATAATTTTAGGTGAGCAGATGTGCACAGGACTGAATTTTTATAAAGACCTAGTGCAGAACTACAGCCTGTATAATCGTTGAGACAAACTGACACGTGTACAAAAATTGAGGAAGCTGTATTCTGACATTTATACAAAATGTGTTTACTTGATAATCTAAGTAAACAGATTGTTACAGATAAATACCAGTATTAAAACTCGTTATACGTTTTTACTTGTGGATTTTTTAAATTAGAATTTCTAAAACAGTGAAAAATGAAGATTTTAAAATGAAAGAACATTGATGGACTTCTGCCAAGTACTGCCATGGAATATCCTGAGAACCACAGCTTGACAACTCTAATTCTGATTTAGTAAATCAGTTTTTAAATAGGTAGTCTTCTGTTGTTGGTTGTTGTGTGTTGTCAAGTCGATTCTGACCCATAGCCACCCTATATGACAGAGTAGAACTGCCCCATAGGGTGTCCTAGGCTGTAATCTTTTATGGGAGCAAATTGCCAGGCCTTTTCTCCCGCAGGTCGCCTGGTGGGTTTAAACTGCCGAGCTTTTGGTTAGCCAGCCTTTTGCTTTCCTTAGTACAGCTTTTAAGTTTAAATAAATATTGTTTAATTATTGTGAAGCTAAGGCATAAAATATATTTATGTCCAAGATTTTAAATACTAAATACTCTGAAGAATGACATTTTCATAGCATTTTATCTGTTCTTTTGATGTTATTAGGTCATGATATTTTTCTGCCTATGGGTTGATTAAA